ATGAAATGCTGTTAAATGTCAGCATATCCATTTCTAGACTCACCATCCACCGTGTCTTTCTGTTTTGATTTGATTTGATTTGATTTATTATTGTCACATGTACCTAGATACAGTAAAAAAAAATGTTTTGCGTGCAGTATAAGCAGATCATACCATACACAGTGCATTAGGGTAATAGATCAGAGTGAGGAATACAATGTAACGGCCGCAGAGAAGGTGCAGAAAGAGCAAGATCAACATTAAATTTGAAATTAGAGAGGTCCATTCAGAAGTCTAATAACAGTAGGCGGCGAAGCTGTTCTTGAAACTGTTGGTTTAAACTGGTGTTTAAGTTTTTGTGTCTTCTGACTGAGAGAAGAGATTGGAAGAAATTATAACCAGGGTGGGAGGGGTCTTTGATGATATTGGCTGCCTTTCCGAGGCAGCAAGAAGTATAGATGGAGTCAAAGGATGGAAGGTTGCCTTCCGTGATGAACTGGGCTGTGCGCACAACTCTCTGTAGTTTCTTATCATCCTAGGCGGAACAGTTGCCATACCAAGCTGCAATGCATCCGGACAGAATGCTTTCTATGGAGCATCTACAAAAATTGGTACGACCAAGAGTTGGAGTTTTAATTTGGGTGAGTCCAGTTTTGCTGAGCTGAGAAGTGATTTAGTTAGGGTGAGGTAGAAATCACAAGAAGAAGATAAATCCCACTGTCTAACGTAAAGCTTTCCTTTTCTGCGTGTAGACTTTCAGGGAGCTCTGGACTTAGCGGCCTGACTCTTTTCACTTTGTGAGAATACATTTTCTTGGAACTACTTTACCCTCCTTTCAGAATAGCTGGATGCAAAGTATTCATTAAGGATTTCACCCAATTCCTCCAGCTCCATGCATAAATTCCCACCTTTGTCCTTGAGTGGACTTACCCTTTCCCTACCTACGCTCTCGTTTCTTATATTCCATAAAACAGCTTGTAATTTTCCTTAATCCTGTTTGCAAAAGACATTCCATGGCTCCTTTTAGCCCTCCCTATTCCTTGTTTAAGCTTTTCCTGCTTTGTTTTTTTTTCCAAGGGCTGTGGCTGTCTTTGGTTTCCTAAATTGTACATATGCCTCCTTGCTCTTTTTGACAAAACTCACAATTTCTGTTATGATCCAAAATCACAAAATTCCCAAACTGTGCAATCTTTACCACCCTGTCTCGATGCCCGGATGTCATGTTCCTAAATGCAATTATCTTCTCACAACTTCGAGTAGGGTCTGATGGATTTCTCAGATGATTCTCCCAAGTTCCTCAATATAGACCTCATTGTTGAGGCCCTTTAAGTTTCAACACCCCATAAGAAGCAAATTCAAAATTGTCTGTCTTTTATGGCCATGCCTTTACTTGTTTTCTTTCTCTGTATTTGAAAAAAAATGCTGAAGATCGCCTTGATGTTTCTTGCCAGTATCATTTCGCATTCTGGTCCCTTTCTAATTTCCTTTCGGATTACACCCCTCCACATTCCACATTCCTCTCTGCTTTCTGTAGTATTGAGTGCTCAGTGTCTGACATGACCTTTCCTTTTCTGCTTGTATGTTCCTTGATGTCAAGGGAGCTCTGGATTTAGCAACCTGACCATTTTACTTTGTGAGAACACATTTTATTGGAACCACTTTAATCTCCCCTCAGAATACTTGCCATTTGTCATTGTTGCTTCCAGTTCACTTTAGCTGAATCTCTTTTCAGCTTGGTAGGGTTGGACTTACTCAAATTAAAACTCCGACTCTTGGTCTATCTTTATCCTTTTCAATAATTGTGTCAGACAACTCAGTTATGATCACTATTACCAAAATGTTGCCTTTTTCCTTCCAGATGGCAGTGGTATTGAGTTTGGAAGGTGCTGTCTAAGGAGTGTCATGGTACACATAACTGCTGCTGAGTTTCGGAGGTGGTGGAAATGAATAATTGTGGATGGGGACAGATCAAGTGGGCTACTTGGTCACTGACTGTGTCAAATTGTTTGAGTACTCTTGGAGCTGCACTCATGCAGGGGAGTGGGGAGTGTTCCATCACACTTCTTGTGGCTTGTGGACAGGTTTTGGTGGGACAGGAGAAAGATTGCTGGCTGCAGAATTCCTAGCTTCTGATCTGCTGATCTATCCGCAGCTGTTTATGGGCTTGGATAGACTCCAGGATGTTAATAGCAGGGGATTCAGCAATGGTAAAGCCATTGGATGTTGAATGGCGATGGTGACATTCCCTACTGTTCATGATGGTCATTGTCTGACATTTTGTGTGGTAAGAGTGTTGCTTGTCATGCGTCAGCCAAGGCTGTACATTGTCCATACCATATTAGATTTGGACATGGACTGCTTCAGAATCTGATGAGTCACAAATCCTGCTCAACATTGTGCTGTCATCAGCAAACAACCCCACTCTTAAACTTTCAATGGAAGGAAGGTAATTGATGAAGCAGATGAAGGGTTAACATGCATTCAGAGAGGCAAGGAATGATTAGGGCTAGTTAGCATGGTTTTGTGTGAGGAAAATCATATCTCACAAATTTGTGGAGTTTGTACGTTCTCCCCGTGTCTGCGTGGGTTTCCTCCGGGTGCTCCGATTTCCCCCCACAGTCCAAAGATGTGCAGGCTAGGCGAATTGGCTATGCTAAATTGCCCATAGTGTTCAAGGATGTGTAGATTGGGTGGGTTGTAAGGGAATGGGCCTGGGTGGGATGCTGTGAGGGTTGGTGTGGAACTGCTGGGCCAAAGGGCCTGTTTCCACACTGTAGGGATTCTATGATTCTATGATTCTATGATTCTATGAAGGCAGAGCAGTAGACATAATTTACTTGAACTATAGTAAAGCCTTTGATAAGGTTCTGCATGCTAGACTAATTAGTAAAGTTAGATCACATGGGATTCAGGGTGAGCTTGTCAATTTGATTCAAAATTGGCTTTATGATTGGAGATAGAGAGTGGTGGTGGTGAGAGCCGCTTTTCAGACTGGAAGCCTGTGACAAACATTTTTCCATTGAGATCAGTATTGAGTCCACTTTTGTCTGAGATTTATAATCAATGATTTGGATGACAATATACGAGGCATGGTTAGTAAGTTTGTGGATGACATCAAAATTGGTGGTACAGTGAACAGTGAAGATGGTTATCTAAGATTACAAAGAAATCTTGATCAGTTGGGCTAAGGAGTGGCAAATGAAGTTCAATTTGGATAAATGCGAGGTATTGCAATTTAGTAAAACAAACAAAGACAGGATTAATGCAATTAACGGCAGAGCCCTGGAAAGTCACAGAACGGAGAGACCTAAGGGTTCAGGTACATAATTCTTTGAAATATGCGTCACAGGGTAGACAGGGTGGTTAAGAAAAGGTTTAGCACACTTGTCGTCATTGCTCAGGGTTTTGAATACAGGAGTTGGGACATCATATTAAGGTTTGACAGGAGGTTGGTCAGTACTGTGTTGGTTCTGGTCACTGTTATAGGTAGGATATTATCACATTGGAGAGGGTTCAGAAAAGATTTTCAAGGATGTGGCCGGGAATAGACGGTTTGAGTTATAACGGAAGGCTGGATAGATTAGGACTTTTTTCACTGGTGTGTAAGAGGTTGAGAGGTGACCTTATAAATGTTTATAAAATCATGAGGTGCGGAAATTAGGTGTGTAGCAAAGGTCTTCTCCCTAAACGTGTGGGAGTTCAAAACTAGAAACATATTTCTAAGGTGAAAAGAGTAAGATTTTTAAAAAAGGACTTGAGGAGGAACTTTGTTACACAGACAGTGCGTAGTGCGTGGCATGAATCGCCGGAGGAAGTTTTGGATGCAGTTACAGTTAGAATATTTAAAAGAAATTTAGCTAAGTAAAAGAACAGGAAATGTTTAGAGGGATATTGGCCAAACGCAGGCAGGCCAGTATTAAACATGGTCGGCATGGACTAGTTGGACTGAAGTGTCTGTTTCCATGCTGTATGACCCTGTGACTCTTTTGACTCTAAAAACTTAAGTGCAGGGATAAACGTAGACTGGAGATAGAGATATTAGTCCTACCCAGATAACATTTACTTTTTCTCACAGGTTCTGATTCATTTGCCTTTTCAGGAATGATCCACTCTTCCTGCTTAATGGAAATGTGCAAGCCAACCAGTGACAAAGTATCAAAAAGGCAATTGAAATATTCGGGAATTGTACATATAGAATGAGACTAAACAGAGATTAAAGGCTAAAGCAACATTTTGCCTGATTTATATTTCTCACCTATCAGCTGACACCTCTTAAAGTAATCAGGTTTGATATCGTACGGCACATTGATATGGAAATGGCTGTTCACATCGACATGAGATAGTAGGAACTGCAGATGCTGGAGAATCTGAGATAACAAGGTGTAGAGCTGGATGAACAGAGCAGGCCAAGCAGCATCAGAGGAGCAGGAATGCTGACGTTTCGGGTCTAGACCCTT